AATGCAAATGTCATGCCTATCAATGAATGCAAATGTCATGCCTATCAATGAATGCAAATGTCATGCCTATCAATGAATGCAAATGTCATGCCTATGAATGAATGCAAATGTCATGCCTATGAATGAATGCAAATGTCATGCCTATCAATGAATGCAAATGTCATGTCTATCAATGAATGCAAATGTCATGTCTATCAATGAATACAAATGTCTTGCCTATCAATGAATGCAAGTGTCATGCCTATCAATGAATGCAAATGTCATGCCTATCAATGAATGCAAATGTCATGTCTATCAATGAATGCAAATATGTCTATCAATGAATGCAAATGTCATGCCTATCAATGAATGCAAATGTCATGCCTATCAATGAATGCAAATATCATGCCTGTGAATGAATGCAAATGTCATGTTTGTATGAAAAAAGAACAAAAGAGAGGTAGAGTAAAACAGGGCAGTCTAGCTGTCTTACCGTTTTTTCTGTAAAATCTCAGGTGAGGTAACTGTCAACCGACTTTCATCCAGGTCTTGCTCTAGTAGTGTACCATTACTACCACCACTTGATATTACCTTGGAATGGAAAAAATAAATAATCATGGTTATGTCTTCCGCTATAGTCATGATCAACATAACAATATTACTTTGAACTTTTCTAAACTTAACAGTATCTGGATTTTCCATACATATTAGTATTCAAATGTCTATAAGAAAACAGAGGTTCTTATTTATTTCTACTAATAACAAACAGCCAATAGGCAGCTAACTAGCACTTGACTCAGCAATCAACTTGTCCAATCAGAAGCTACTTCATAACCCTCCTAGGCCAACAACTAATTCAGCATGGTATAATCTCATCTTAAACAAGTAATGAATGTTTGCTTCCATTTATCATACCTTCTGTTGATAGCCCATATCTTGGAAAGTGCTGCCACCATAAGTACCATGACCTGAGCCAGGAGACTCATGGAGACCACTTATTACACTATCTGTATCATGATCATCTTGAACAGCCTTCAAGGGTACAAAATCAAGTCCTGACGTAGTGACTTCTGTCCCACCATCAACACCTACCCCACCCTCAAGGTAACTACCTGAGAACATAATACTCTCTGGATATGACCCTTTATTAACCTGGTAACCAGGGGAACAAGGTGCTGTTATTGATGTTGTCACAGGGGAATAGTGTTTTGGATCACTGTGTAGGAACTGCTGTGTATGCTGTTGATTTATGACAGTTGACATGTCTTCAGTGGAGTGGTAATTGGTACTGGGCACCCTGTGTTTAGTTGGCCCACCATGAGCGGGGTATTGGTTCATCTTGGGATCCTTGTGCCTAGAGCTATAGTCTGTGATGGGTTGAGTAATGTGGGTTGTGGTATAGTGTTGGTAAGAGCTGCTGGTATCTGTTGCTGGGTACTTGTTTATTGGGTTAGTGAAGACTGAGGGGGGAGACTGTGCTTGGGATTGCCATTTTGAAGTTCCTCCTTGGATACTTGCCTTGAACATGGGGTCAACCTAGAATGACAATTAACAGTCATCAATGGCAGGAACTTAGACAAAACAGGRTGTTTTCAAATCTATCTTGTTATTCTTAAGTACTACCTTAGTATCTGCCTTTGCTGGAGACTTGTTTGCTGTCAAGAGACGAAGAGCTTCATCACAATGAGCTTGCATCATTTGATGCATACGAATGGTAAGATTTTGCCTAAAATAAAGGAAGAAAGTTAAAATTATACAATAATGCTGAGACCCCATGTGCAATGCATATATTCAGCTGTGGGATCCTCTCAAAAATTTAGCAATGATTTTTCAGTGTCTTTATCTCTCTGTTGCAAGGGGGAGGGGGAGGGGTTTATGATTTGTTTTGGTGGGAAGGGATGAGTAAATATTCCTCTCTAGGAAAACCTGTGTCGCCACCAACATCGTCAACAAAAAAATGAGGTCTCATATGATATTACCTTTGGTTTTCCAGTTGCTGTCGTTGGTTGGAAAGTGCTGCTATCTTATCTTGAGCATCCGTCAGCCTTAAAAAAAGTTTGAAATCCCAGGAGTAAGAATGAGAATAAAAACAAATATCCTTATCTCAAGGACATTTCAAGTGATCTGATCTCTACCTCTCTTCATATTCTGTTGCAGCTGTTTTAAGTTTGATATCTTTCTTTTTTATTTCCTAAAAAATAGAGGGTTTTTAGGATTTTGAATAAAAAGTTTCTACAAGAACTCAACATAGTATCAAATGAATGTCAATTGCATTTCACTCCATATTCAATTTACCTCATGAAATTTTTCTAGTTGTTGTCTCATCTCTTCCTTGTGTTTGTTATTTACCTCTTGAATCTGTTAATTGACAAGTAAAAACAATATAAACACGGAGCAAGATTTCTGCTGGTTTTCTCAACAGGTTTAGCAGGGAGAGTAGTACTGTTTTGGTTCATAGTAACCAGCTACTAACCTGCTGTCTATGATTGTCTCTCAATTCTTTTTCTGATTTCGTCATTTGTTTCTGAAGTTCTTCTAGTTTCTGTGTAACCTGTGATTCAACCAGAAGAACAAGATAAACACCTACCAAAATATTTCAGACTGTAGATGACAGGAATCAGACATTCAGGCATTGATTTACCTGTCTTTCTAACTCTGCTTGTCTTTCATTCTCCTCTTTAGCCTTACTTGCTTCATATCTTGCTTGCATGAGACTCATCTCCATTTTCAAACTCTCCTATTCAAACACAATAATTTATATACTATATTAGATAAAGACATTTCTTGTTTTCAAAACTTTTAAACAATTGTTTTGAAAATTCAACTTGGGTCATGAATTTGAAAATAACTGCTTCCTCAGGGAAGGGAAATATTCCTGAGGCTTAACTTTGATTAGTGCATGATTAATTTGCATGCACCTTTTCTCTAACTGTTGTATCAAGATCCATCTCAAGTCTTTGAATGTCCTTCTGCAGTGCTGACATGGCATCTTTGGAGTCCTAAGCAAGTTAGATGAAGAACATTAGGCATAGTCACTTTGTCTTTTTAGTCTCATTCTAACAGCTTTTGAAGAAAAAATAATTTTAATTTATGAACATTACCTTTACTACTTTTCTTTCTTCTTGAAGTCTTTTCTGAAATATTAAAGGAAGAAAATGGTTTAAATTTACACTCCATGTTGGACTGCCACAATAGATTTATTTTAAGTTAAACTCAAACAAACCATGCATGATAATATATGGAAAATGTTATTTATTGCTTATTCACCTTTTCCTCACTTAAAGAGCTTGAAAATCTTTCTTCTAGATATTTCAACTCTGATTGTACTTTGCTATTTTTTTCTGAAAGCTGAAAAATTGGTTCATCAAAATATTAAAATAACACTTGTTGGCACAATGTTAATTACCATCATTAACACTTGATCAACTGTTATACTGTGGCACAGGAAGGATGGATAATCAGACCATATGCTATCATTATTATCACAGTGGGTCTTCAAGGATTTCTTCAACTGTATTATTAATACTATTGCTATCCCTTTTCCCATTTTATTAAGTATTACTAAGTATTCTCCTAAGTAATACTTTCATTTGCATTATTCACAACATTTTCACTATTACTATAACATTACTGTCTTATAACCAAATGTTTTTGCATACTTGTGATACATGTGATACAATTATGCACAGCTTCAGTGTAAATAAGTGGTTAGCTTTCTGAATTCTGTGTGAGATAAAGTTATTATTATTATATTATTATACATGTATATTTTCCCACCTCATTGATTGTTTTTTGTGCTTCCATATATTTTTGTTGCGCCTGTTCTTTTTCCTTTATAATGGCCATCTTTTCTTCGTCCATCTGTTTAACCTTGTTTTTCTCCTTTGTGAAGACCTGGAGCAGTTGCTCTCTTTCTTCTTTTTGTTTTTCAATCTTAGCAAAACCAAAGCAGTATAAAAAGTCATTAAATTTTACCAATTGAAAATGACATTAAAGGAAAAAAAATTGTAACAATTACAAAAGCTTCATCCTGGATTGTGGATCATGCTGGATGGACAGATCATGTTGGACGGATGGGTCATGCTGGATGAATGGATCATGCTGGATGAATGGGTCATGCTGAATGGATGGGTCATGCTGAATGGATGGGTCATGCTGGATGAATGGATCATGCTGGATGAATGGATCATGCTGGATGGATGGATCATGCTGGATGGATGGGTCATGCTGGATGGATGGATCATGCTGGATGGATGGAAAGATGGGAGGGTGCATGGATGGAATGGAAGGATAGATCAGTGGATCATGTTGGATGGATGGATGGATGGATGGGAGGGTGTATAGATGGGATGGATACACGTAGATGGGTGGATGTTTGGATTGATGGTTGGAATGAATGGATAGGCTAAAAGGTTTTCACTGTAAAAAGGGTGAGCTTCCATGTATTCTGATGGCTAAACGAAGTCAGGACCCCCTCTTTTTACTTACTTATTTTACTTCTAGTATGATGTACTTTCATTATGCAAAATTTAAAAAAATTTCAAATAAATTGAATAGATGGTTTGGACAGATGGAATGAATGAATGGATAGGTGGGTGGGTGGATGGATGGATTGAATGAATGGATAGGTGGGTGGGTGGATTGAATGAATGGATAGATAGGTGGTTTGGAGGATTGAATTTAAGGTTGGATAGGTAGGTGGGTGCGTGGGTGGCTGGAAAACCATGGAAGGATATGTCAAATGCACTTAACTCACCACTAATTGTTTTTCTCTCTCTGCCTCAGTTGCCCTTTCCTGTTCTTTGGTCAAGGCTTCCACTGCTTGTGCCAACTCTTTCTCAAACTGAAGCAGAATCTATTAAAAGCAATTTTGTATAACATTTGAAAGAAAATTAATTTTTTTTAGAAATTAGCAAAACTATTCACAATTCACAATTCAGATTTATTAGAATGTGAAATTGAAAATTTGTTTCCAAATTTGTGACATCATTTTTCCTTTAAGATTCTCAAAAACACTACGAAAACAAAAATTATACAACTGTGGCCCTTTATATCATATGACAAAGTTTCAAAACTTTTGGAATTGAAATGTAATTTAAGTTAGCAATTTCTTTTTCCCCATGGCGTGCTGCAAGCAAAACGTCAGCAACAACGTATTAATCAATGTGCTTTCCTTATTGGTTTGTTTAGACTTGAGATTGAAATATGTGTTATTTTCTCAGGTAAATCATACCTCTTGCTGCTTCTTGTGAGACTGTTCCTGCACCTCTCTCTCTTGTTTTAATGTGCTGATCATAATCAATTTTTCTTGCTCATGTCTTTTCCATCCCTCAACTACTTTAGCTAATGTCTGTCATTAAAAAAATACAGTTGTTCTATGAATGAACAATTTAATACTTAATGGGAGTTATAACAGTAGTTCCAAAGAGTGGCTCTTCTTCTGCTGGAATTTAGAAGTTAATCTTCGCAGAGGGAGGGAAACCGGAGAACCTGGAGAAAAACCCTTCAAGGACAGGAAAGAACCAACAAGCAACTTTGATCACATGGCACTGAACCCAGGTCACATAATGGCTCTCACTGCGACACCACCCATGCTTCCCATAATACTTTTGGTTTTGACTCAAGCAATATAAAAATAAAAAAAATAGCTACTTATAATTTTTGTACTGCATGTCTCTGCACTGCACAAGAGATGCAACTTCTTACTAGGAACACAAGGTGTAGCCAAGTGTTTCTTTTGGTTTTTGAGTCATCATCATAATCCCAGAAGTGTGTATCTTTCCTCTAATGTGTAAACACTGTCAGTAGCCGTTATTCAAACATTTTATAGACACCATGGCAAATGGTCGGCAAATGGTAGTGTGTATTGTCTATCCTAGCATCAATCAGTACTGATTATACGTGTACTACGAACCTTGTCAAGTTGTTCTATCATCACATCCTTTTTTCTTTCTGATGATACTGAAACAGCCAACTCTTGCTGAATCTCAAGTAACTGAAATTATTTTTTTGTCAGAAAAAGCAATTTTGTAAATAATAAGATGAATAATGGAACTATGCAGTGTTTTTATTATGATCTCAATAACAGCAAAACAAAATATAAATCTACATTACCTTTGTATGTAATTCTTGAATCTGCTGCTCGCAATGCTGTGAATGTACAATAAGAAAAGATAATATTAGAGATCTCAGGAAGCCCAACATTCTTCATAATGGATACATCAATTTTAAGAAAAACATCTTGAAAATATGCAGGTTCAACTTTTCAAAGGTTGGCACCTCGATCTGTTTGCATTGTTTGAGTTGGAAATCAAATTGCTAGAGACCTCATCAACCAAGGAATGGTTGCACCTGAAGGAAGTCAAGCACCTGAAGTAAGTGAAGCACCTCAAGTAAGTGAAGCACCTCAAGTAAGTGAAGCACCTCAAGTAAGTGAAGTACCTCAAGTAAGTGAAGCACCACAAGTAGGTGAAGCACCACAAGTGAAGCACCTCAAGTAAGTGAAGCACCACAAGCAAGTCAAGCACCACAAGCAAGTCAAGCACATGAAGTAAGTGAAGCACACAAGTAATGAAAGCTAGTAAATGAAAACACTAAAAGCCATAAACAGAATACAAACTATTGAACTAAAAACACTATGTACATCATTTGAGAATATAGAATATAGAAGTCACAATTTAAAAAAATTGTGGATTCCACTAAACGATTTGGTAAAGCATATTATAGGGAAGTATTGGCCAGTTTGTGTTGATGAAATGCTTGACTTGACATGAAATGGCTGAAAAAGTCACAGTGGTCAGTAATGATTTTCAAAAGTACATTCTTAAATGGAGCACTGTTTAAGTAAGACATAAAATACACTTTCAAGCATGAGCTACAAATTATCATATAAAATTAAACACACTCAATATATCTTAGCACATAGTTTTTCTTGAAATTAATATTACAAGCTTGACCTGGTACCCTCACTTTGTTGTACCCTAATTTAGAATAATGCTGGGCGTAATAAGGGCTATTGTTTGTGGTTGTGTATTGCAGAAGACCATCACAGGCAGACCACAACTATACAATATGTTATTATTAGCCTTTTTCTAATTTATTAATAGACTAAGATCAATGCTTTTTAAAAAAATCAGCATATTATCTAGTAACTAACATTACCTTCCTTCTAAACCTCTCTCTATCAAGATGTTCCCTCAGGAGCGTATTCTCCGACATCAAGCTTCTGTTAGCACCTGATGTTGGGTGTTGGGGATGTGCAACTTGTTTTCGAACATCAGATGCATGTTGTATGCTGCTGTGAGGTGTCTGTGAAGTGTCATCTTTTGCATGTGCTCCTCTTGATTGATCACCAAATTCAAAGTGAACCTGAAAATAATTATGATAATCTTGAAAGTCCTTAATGGTAGCTTGCTTTCTTGTGCTTGAAAAATAATGATTGTTACTGGATGGCAAAAAAAATTGGACTTCCTTTATTTAATGATTTTTTGCTGGATTACTAAATAATTGTGGTATCCAAAACCTTTTCAAGCATACTTTTTTCCCCTTAAAAGATACTTTCGATTTCAAGATACGAAGCAGTTTAAAGTTTGTTCGCCATCCAGCAGAGTCTGCCCCAGGGGACCTTGAGCTAAATTGATTTGTTATCAAAGTCATATACACTGTATCAGCATGTTACTGTTTGTTGGAAAAGGCCTATTAGCAACAGATCTAGAGGCAGCCATTATTCAGTTAACTTCATTCATTTTCATAACACTTTTTGCCTTGGTTTATAGCTTGCAGTTTCTCTGGTTCCAGAGGCATATATTATTCTCTCAATTGCTCTGCTTGCAAGGTAAGGTCTTAAATTTTGCTGAAGGTAAACAGAACCTGTAGAATCAAGTTACTAACTTTTAGTTCTTCAAGAGGTGATGAATTGGGCAACATCTTCTGCAAGAAAGCAGCAGTATCGACACTAGTCATGGAATGATTTTCAGCCCCATCTCTTGGCACATCTTCCTGATCAGCTGATCCTGTATGAACACTTGTTTCATAATCCCCATCAATATTCAAATCTTTTGAGGTCTTTAGCATATTCTGTAAATGATTGCGAACATTTTCCATTTCATGGATATCCATGCTTGTCACATTGCTGATGTCACCTAAAGCTCTTGAATCTAAAAAATTCTAGGGGAAAAACACACAGAAAATAATGAAAAATCATTGCATGATAGTGCTTTTCATGATTTTCTAACCTCCACACAGCTATACTTTTAAGACCATTGTAAATTTGATGAATGGTGCATCTGGAGATAGTCTGGGTTGCATGGTTATCAAAAGTGTTCTTACTATTCATATTTCTAGATTATTAAAATGAATACCTGTTGGTTTCTTGGTGTAGWKAACTGCGACATTCTGCCTGGTGGTKGWGGAGGTGATACATCAGGTGTTACAGGGTTAAACTTGTATGGTTGTGATTTGATTTCTTCTGGTATGGGCATATTGTTCTCAAAGTCGTAGGATATTCCTAATGCCGAATGAAGGCTAGTATCCATTAATATCCATCTACAGCAACATCACCTGACCATCATGCAGCCTGAAGATAGAGGTGTATAAATGTTAAACTCACTATATGTACACCAAACCAAACGAGTTTATTCATTTGCTTTATGTTTTAATTATTTTCTTGTAAATAAGAAACTAATGATTTCTTTTCACAAGTTGGATAAGCAGCCAAGCTTTATGAATGTCGAACACGAAGAAGATACAGTTGTTTATATACTAAAACAATTATAGTTCAAGATTATACTGTCGTTAGCATAGCAACAGGTGGTTGTATGATTCTTCGTCACCAGTTAGCAGTAATAATAACCACAATCATTACACTGAAGAAAGTATCGCAGAATAATAAGGCATGAAATAATAGATGATGATTAAAACGTGGTATATATTTTAGCACACACGTTTAACCAGTAGCACCTAAAGTCGTTCGAACAGATTCTGTAGGATGGATTTCTGGATCGCATAAAACATAAGACTCATACTGTAAGGATTCTACTAATTTAGTGTTATAGATAATCTACAGTTCCAAAATAGTTTGTAACAAATATAAGGACCTCAAAAAAACAAACCAAAAGAACTAAATAAGATCCTACAAGTTTTTCTTATGTCAAGTTCTGTTAGTTCTGTCATAACTCGCAAACAAACCCAATTTAGTATCGCTAATTTCTTTAGAAAAATAAATTCAAAACACAGTAAGACTTTTCGTGTAGGAAGTAGCAAGGTACTAACCTTGTGATCAGGCTGACTTGGTCCGTTCTTTTGGTGGAAAAGAGAAGAAGAAAGAAAGTGTTGAACGTGTTAAACAAGATGCCTGTGACCGTTGAAGAAAATTGTTATGCTACTAAGACAAGCCGCTGACACGATAACAACCAGCATTCGTAGGGGAGGGGAAGGTAGGGGAAGGTTGCCATAACGATGGCTAGTTTAACTCCAAAAATTTCATTATAGTCTTCACTTAAACTTTTATTGCATCAAAATAATTTAGACGAAGACTTTTACTCCTTATTGACCAATTTTTGCTTAACTTTCTTGTTATTTGTATACCTACACATTAATAAAACAGTATCGTATCTTACCCCTCCCCCACTAAGTGCTTTGCGGCATGCTTCATTTGGATTTATGGCGGGAGACTAGAAGCTTGACCACCTGTTGCTTGTTTTTCTCTCTTAAACTGCAATCTCTTGAGGTAGAACATGGCTTATAATCGTGAAGAAGACAAGAATTATGAATATGAAACACAATTTTTTGGTTTTACGCCCAAATCCTTCGTGGATGGAGGTAAGATATTGAATTATTAAACGAAACAGTAGTGTTGTACCTTCAAATCGATAAGCTTAAACTAAATGGTTTGAAACTAACTTTTCTCTCTTTTTCACAGTTTACAATGCTATAAATGACTACGTCAGTGATTGTTTTAAAGAACTCGAAAAGTTGTTAAGCAATGAGGTATGTTTTTGTCTTGTAAAATAAATGGTTGCATTATAAAATGTTCATCTTCTGGACAAACGAATTAAGCTTTTGTTTTCGATCTTTACTCGTTTATGCAGCCAACATTGACGAAAGATTGTACAGCTGAGCAAATACACCAGGTACAGTAATCATGATAAGATTTTAAGATGGTTTAGCAGTTACAAATTATCATGAAGGGGTTTGGGATTGAAGGTAATGCATTCCAGCTGTCACACCCTGCAGCACTCTTAGACTTCTATGTACTCTTGACTAATATAACACAGTCCTCCTCCTCTGAGAGGCTAAGAAAATCAGGACTTTTTATACCCCCTCCCCTAATACACACATCCATTCAGCAATGATTTATGATTTGATTTATGGATTCATTCCCTGTGAAGCACACCACAACAGCATACACAGCCAATTACTGTAGGCACATGTAGTAGCGTCTTCAGTGGAGTTTTTTACAGGCTGCCTTACATAGTGAAGACAGAAGGGCTGAGAAGACTTGAAAGTCTAAGCATTTGTAATTAAAAAGGCAGCAACTTGTGTTTGTTTGCTGAGGCTTGAACCATGACCTCCTGCACAACAGACTGACACTCTTACCAACTGAGCTATCCAGGTGGCAGTGTTTGTGGGATAGCATTCTCAGTACTGACCAGTGCTAACCATCTTGGGTTCATTGCATTATTGGTGCACAACACCCCACCAATACAGCAGGAAGAGTTGCATATAATTGCTTTTATTGACATTGTAGAAAACAGACCAAATGCTGTCAAAGTTTTATGAAAGTATGGATGTGTCATTTGATCGGCTAGAGGTGCGTATGTCTAGAGAATACAGGTAGTTAGTAGGGGGGGGGAGGGCCAGGTCAAGGAATTTCCACTGGAGAAGCAGGATGGACCTTACTTACGTCAGCAACCATATACTTTTATTCTCACAAGAATAAAAACCTTTGTTTAATCTGCATGAATTTATTCTTAAGTCATTTTGGAATATCATTTTTAAGCAGTTTTATAAGAGCTGCTCATTCGTTGCAATTCTAAGTACTAATATAGAGGACTTAATATATTTTCGTTAGGGAACACATTCAAACGTGAGTGTAGTTCTAAGGAAAGAGGCACTCAAAGTTTAGTATTTTGGATGAGTAAGGCTGTGTGATCAATTTCCTGAGCTATTCGTTCAGTCAAACCAATATCTATCTTGCATTTAGGTCATTTCCTTTGTGGGACTACCTCATAAACAGTTCTCCTATTGCCAATGTTTAGGATACATTTAACTATTGGAATAAGCTGATTTCTGTGGCGTGGATGTTTAGCCCCTTTATAAATACGACAGTTTAGGACAGTAAAAGGAGAGCTTGGACAAAAAGCAAGCTGGTCAAGCAACTAGAGTTAGGGTTCGCCCCAAGGGAAGTTAGCCTTGCCATCTCAGTCATGCTGCATTCCATTTTAATCCGTTTTTGCCATCTTGTCGGCTGGTGTCAGATCCTGGTATATATATTTTTCCAATTTTTATCTCTTTTTAGCGTGTTGCGCTCAGATCGCCCGTCATGGAGTAATTTTCTTTTCATAAACCATGGGATTCCACTAGTGTGTGTCTTTCATAGGTTACAAATGCAAGGCTACATACATTGAGTCAGTCAACAGAGCTGTCGTGTAAGTAAAGCCCATGGGGTCACAAGTCTGATACTAAGGTAATTTTGTATTTGTCTAGATATTTTTAATGCAGAACATATTCAAGATACCACCAAATGTCTTACTCCCTGAAGATAAGGTACTCATGTGTTTACTCATGTATACATAAGTATTTTTTTAAAACCTTAAAACCTTATTTAATACATTTGACAGCTTCTTTGTTTTTTCTTATAAGATACATGAGAGTCATAATCATACTAAAGATGAAGAAGTCAAAATGGACGATGAAATTCAAGAGCTTTTAAGAAAACTCAAAGCAGTAAGTCTGTCACTGTTTTTCTCACTCTTGGCATCAGGGTTTCAGCATCAGTATTTTCACTTCCCTCTTCTCTATATTATGTCAGTAGATTTGTCACTTATCACTTGCAGTCTTTAAGCACAATATTTCCATTTCTCTTCCCTGCATAATGCTGTCATTGGAACAGTTTTGTAATGACTGTGAAATAGACACTTTTCCAAAATGGCAGCTGCAAATTTGAATGAGTTAAAATTAAACTGAGWGAAAAACCAATACCAGCACTGAAAAGAGCACCTTTATTTCAGTAACCCTACTAAGATTCATTATGTCAGGTGACATATCGGCCAAGAAAACTTTAGTTGAAAATTGACAAAGCCACAGATGTTTGTATGTCTGGAGGTATAGCCGTCTATTATCAGTGCTGTATTTGTGCCTTGATGCGACCCTATGCTGCAACCATGTTATCTAGGATTTTTATTGGTTGACTTTTTCCTTTCTTCCTTATGTGATTGATTTGGCAGTGCATATGCCATGACCTTGGCATGACCAGGTCTGCGCCATGTTCATGCTGTATTCCCGGACGTATTTGATTAGATGGAGGGTACAGTATATTCTGGCACAGTGTGATTTGCGTGGCGCATGGCTAGCAGTGTCATGACCTTTTTTGTGCCATGAGCTTTTCACAATCTTAGGAAAACTGCTGTAATATGCCTTGTTTCCTGTGACGGAGACATGATCACTAAGTGTGCCAGACCCTTTAGCTTTCATATCGAGTTATGAGTAACATTTTTGATACAGGCGAAATATGTAAATAAAGCACTGAAACAAGAACAGAAAGAACTGGAATCAGCTGAAACTCAGGTAATACTGCAAAGTCTGAGCACTAGATGACAAAATCATAGCCCAGTCTGTCAGTAGATGCACCTAATTGCAAGAGTATTATACAGTAACAAAGCAAAACAGGAGTAAGTATTTCACTGTCTTGAAAGTATAGACTGACATTGCGAGTATATACTAAAACAGATATTTTCATCGATCTAGGGGGCTTTAGAATCGAAACGAATTTTCCTAATTTATTCTATATATTATTTTTATATGACAATGTTTTTGCAATTAGGTGTTATTATGATACGTTTACTGACAACCGATACATTACTGATACCTGCTTATAGGCTTGCATGGCTCATGACACAACTACTCCCATAGATTTACTAAGTACTTGCTTATTACCAGCATATTACATTAATTGCAGGTTGCAGAATGTGGTAAATACTTGGATCTCTTGGAAAAAACATGTCAAACTGGCTTAGGTAAACCAACTTGCAGTAGTAGAGTGTAAGCACTGTATCTCTGAAACAGTAGTCTAGTAAGTAGCACTATTCCCACAGAATAGCACAGAGCAGTATAAATTAATTCAACACACATGCCTCATATACTAATACTCATTAGTAGACCCTAACTCCATTGTTATCTTTTGTCTATTTGACTAAATACACTCAACAACAACGTTTATTTTACTCATAGGGAGAAGAGTAATACATAAAAACATTTAGTACTAGAAATCTATTTACAATCATGCAGGATATATATATTTATTTATTTACAAAGGAAAAAAAATAGATACTAGAATTAGTGTTTGAGCTTGAGGGTTAAGTTAACCATACGTTTTCTAGTTAACCCCCAGCCATTTTATGTTGTTATTTAAAACAAGTATAAGGAAGGAATGAAGGAACTCAATGACTTAGTATTTTTTATTTCATGGGTCAAATGCCTTCACTCTTTAGTACTGTTTACCAGATCAAGTCTGAACACTCTACTACAGATGTCAACAAACTTCCAACCACCGAGACAAAAAAAAAAACATGCCACTGAATTATGCGTCATAACATCTACAGTCACACCCAAAAGCATTGAAGTTTATCTCTTCACATAGGAAAATCGCTAAGCATGCTTACTGGCAAGACGTATAAAAAGGAAGGTAGAGATAAACATCAATGTTTTTGGGAGTGACAGTAGACATGGCATGTAATAGTGGCTGGTTTTTTTTTTTGTCTCGGTTCAGCAGTTCACTAACATCCATAATAATGTGTACGACAAAGTAAATGTTGAATAACATGTTGCATGATTTTGATACCTACTAGAGAGTACTTTCATTTGTATTGCTATATTATTGTTTTATAGGACTTAAAGAGTGCTTAGTATTCACCTGTGATCAAGCAAACAAGTTACATGATCAACTAAGCATGGCATTAGAGGGTGGAGTGCTTCCTGTCCAGGTATTGTGTCATTCAGAGCTACAGTAGAGGTCCACATCTGTTTTGGCTTCTCTTGGTTCTGTATATCTTTAGCTTTAAGTAAGAAGCACTGATATTCTGAGGGAATAAAGGGCACACCTTCAAGCACTTTATACTGTATCCTTGACTCGGGAGATTTGGGCAACCACTCCCTGCCTTATGGAAGTAAAATGAATTTCCTTTTTGTTATTAAAGCTCATATCAAAAGGTTCAAAAAAGCAATTTTTTCAAAAAAGATCAATATTAACCTCTCTGCCTCTCATACCACAGGAAACCCAAATGTCATGCAATATCCTGCCTTAGACCACAGGTAGCCCAGTGTAAATAAATGGTCACTCATTAACTTTTATTCTTTCTTTATTTTAAGGAACCTAAAGGTGAAAAAGCAAAGATTGCAAGAAAAAAACTTAAAATAGGATGAACAAATTTACTTCCTACTCACCATTTGTGTAAATAATGTTTAGTTTTTGTACACACGTGTATACTATGATTGTTTTTTTAATAATTAGTCTACTAATTAAATGTAAGTTAAATGACACAATTAAAAGATGAGTAAAACAAGGGGAAACATGTTTTGCATTCCAATTTTTATTGGCTTTTTCGGAAGAATACAGGTGCATAAAACAGTTGGTATGAAAAATATTTAGTAATTTTTTTTCATATATCAAATTGCAATTTTTGATTTATTTTTTTTTTTTTTTTTGCTTTTTGCTTCCTGAGGAATTACTCTGCGACTACACAAACCAAAGTCACCCAAGCCAATTTTCTTACAAATCTTTGAATCAGCCAATTGAGGGCCACAGGTTTGTTAGCATATTGCTATTTAGTGCTACCCTCAGTAAATAAAGAGTTTATTATTATTATTATATAATCACACGCCAGTATTAGAACAATGAAATGATTACAAATAAATTCATAACACAAGAAGAGTTTTTAGATTTTATTTCAGTTACAGTGGGACAATGTAAATGACAAATTTGTGAAATGTTTTGAATTTTTCCAGAACAAGTACCCCAGCGGCATCCATCCTCTTGCACTTCTCGTAAAGTAATTTGACAATATATAGACATACTACCGATTTTATATTATTTAGTAGTTATAGTATAGAGTACAACCATCAAATATAATATATATTTTTTTTATGTGTACAGCATTGTATGAATGTATTTTTTGAGGCCATAAACTTGTTGATATTTTATAGAACATTGAATTGTCAGAAAAGTTGTAACATGATGTCTGATGCTAAAACAGCTAAATTCCAATGATATTCTGTTTTAGTGATCCACTTATGAAATTTTGTTTTAGTGATCCAATTATGATATTTTGTTTTACTGATCCACTTATGATATTTTGTTTTACTGATCCACTTATGATATTTTGTTTTACTGATCCACTTATGATATGGAGAGGACCAAGACCCTGGGCAAAAACAAGAATATTTATCTTGTCGCTTTTTCTTGGATTTTTTTCAGCCTAAAATTCACTTAGCAAGATAAATAAAAGCAGTCAATTGTTTTGCTGTGTATATCTATCACATCCCAGTCACAATGTAACCTCTTGGTTTATAATAATTGCAATATTGTGTTAATCTAACATCCTCCCCAAGTCAGGCGCTGAACATGGTCAGTCTTTCTCTTGGTGGGTTTTATGAACCCAATAAATTGTAATTCTGAAACAGCTCTGATGAATCGAGCCCTTGTACTAGGTTAAGGGAAATAAACTCAAACAGAATGATTGTATTTTATCCACAAGCCTGGCCCTTTGTTAAAATTATAAGGACCTTCAAAAATCAACTCTTAATGTTTTACTAAGATTTCAAAGGATACTGTAGTTCTTCATTAGATTTTTTCTTTTTCTTTGCTGGAGTCTTTTTCTTGGAACTACATGAATCTGGATCTATAACAACGCTAAATGCCTATTGAACAAAGGAAAGTATTAAAATAAATGATATGGTTGCAAGTGACCGATCTTGTTTGAACTACTGACGGACTACATAACCAGCAGATGCTTATCATTTTATACTTTATCTCTGGACCAAAACTATCAACTGTCTTTGAACTTTAAAACCACTTGTTGATCATTGAACAGCCATCCACTGACAACTAGCCATACACCCACTGACCACTAGCCATCTACATATAGATCATTAGCCATCCACCCACTGACCACTAGCTGTCCCCTCACTAACCACTAGCCATACACCCACTGACCACTAGTCGTCTACATATAGATCACTTGCCATCCACCCACTGACCACTAGCTGTCCCCTCACTAACCGCTAGCCGTCCACTCACTGACCACTAGCCATCCACCGATTGACCACTCGCAATCTACCCACTGACCACTAGCCATCCACCCACTGACCACTAGCTGTCCCCTCACTAACCACTAGCTGTCCACTCACTGACCACTAGCCATCCACCGATTGACCACTCGCAATCTACCCACTGACCACTAGCCATCCACACACTGAACACTCGCAATCCACCCTACCAACCACTTACCGTCCAATCATTGACCATTAACTATTTACCTACTCACCACTAGTATTTACCCACCTATTAATAGCCAACCAGACAATAGACTTGCTCCAAGTCTCGCTCATTATTTTTTCCGTTGGTGGGTCGTCGAATTCAATTTCAGCACTTTGGGTTCCGACAGATTTCCAAAGGGAATGGCCGGAAAAAAAGAAAAGCGAGGGAGACTTGTAAAACTCAGCATCTCATTAATATTGGACAAGTTGGCGGGACCTTTGATTGACATGATTGATATTGAGATCGAAAATTATTTGTCAGTGACTATTCATGCCACAGACTTCAAAGTTATTTGTAATAGGAGATGGCTCATGGTAATCTGAATGAAGCCGACAGGATTTGATCCCTAAATTTTCTTAGTTTCTCAACTGATGTCGCATTTTTTTTTTGGCCATTCCCTTCGGAAATCTGTCAGAACCCGAAGTCCTGAGATTTGAATTCGAAGACTTGCCAACGGAAAAAATAACGAGTGAGACTTGGAGCAAGTCTAACCAGACAACAAACACTGACCAATAAACCAAGCTTCTCTAACCTGTAACCAGTCATATAAATTGATCAGTCTTCCACACTCTAGATGAAGCTTGTAGGCAATGGATATGTCCGGTAAGGAGTCTTGTATTGTACCTGCATCAATCTCACAACACTCACACTAAAACAATAAACGTAAGCAACACAAACTAGTTCAAATATTTGTTGATGAATACAAATGTGACAAACAAAATAGAGTCTAACCTTCAAGTAATGATGAGGATTTGTCAAAGCAGTTTGGATGGCGACCCTCGGCATTCCTATGAGATGCTGAAGAAAAATAAAGTAAATTAAAAGGATGAAAAGGGGAAGAAAGGAAAAATGAAAGAAATTGCTGGGTTCCCAACCTGCTTTACAGCTGTTATCCCATCAAAGTACATGACTTCATGTAAAGGCATATTTTGTGGACAAGTAAGGTACTCCCTGAAACACATTTATATCATCATCACCATTATTATTTACTACCATCTCTGCAGCAAGCAATGCCTTCCTTTTCGGAGTACCACACAGTAGAGGTAGTATTATCACTGAATAATTAATGAGGATGGAGCAGTGAAAAACTGGTGGTTTTCATACAAGAGGGGTCCAAAAAATAATAAAATATCAAAATATATTATTATACGTCTACCAGAAGCAGAAATCGGGAAATGAAGAATAAATTTTTTCATTTTACCACCACGTGTTGCTTTTTTTCTAACTTAAGTTCCAAAAATGCTTTGGGCCAGCCATTTTGTCCACTCATGCTTTACAAGCTGCATTCCCCACTCAGCTGGCATTGATATCATACAAAACAATTATGATGGCTGGAATTTTATGACAGATCCTCACCTAAAAAACTGGTTCAGATATTCAACTACTTCTTGTCTAAGCTGATCAAATGGTGAATCCTTGCGTTTCTGTTTGGCAGCAGTCTTAAGTTTCTATATATATTAAATATTAATAATTCATAAGGTCATAAACATCATTTGTTTGTTTATTCATTCTTTTAATTCATTCATTCATTTTTGGCTTTATTTCTAAAATAAACATGAAAAAATACCAGCATGTCCAAATCATTACCTCTTGAAGTTCAAATCTGCTGAGTATTTTTGGTGTGGTTACTTTTGGCTCTACTGGGGTCGTGGTTTCCTCTGTTTGCTTCACTTCTGCAAGAAAGTTTTTGAAAGATTCATTGAGTAAGGTGTGTCATCCTCTAAAACATTTATTGCTTCAATGGCTTTGAATTTCCAGGGGGTGGAGAGTAACTGAAGTGAGTTTACACTAAAAGTATGTTAAATGAGTAGTTTTTCCCCTGAGGTTCTTGGAGGTAGGATTTTTGTTACCATCAAGTGTCCTGGTGGCCGGCCATCGAGGTGTGATTAATTTTAGTAAATAAACAACAACAAACATCAAAGACCTAGTTACTTTAAAAAAGACATACCTCCAATTTTCTCAAACTGCTCTAAAAATGAAGTCAGTTTATCTCTGTGATTTTCTAACTCTTTACAAGATCTAGAAGAGAAAAGTGAAAATTGTGTTTTAATATTCATACACCTTCATCAATATTATTAGTTCAATATAAAACCTTACTCTTTCAAAGAAGATGTTAAGATCACTACACATTTCTGAAGCAGTAGAAGTAGTTCATCTTTAGCATATACCCTGAAAGGGAATCAAAGATGCTCAAAACAGGCCCGTCACTAGGACCTTGAAGGGGAGGTTAGTTTTTCTACCAATTTTAGTTATGCCATTTCCCTAAAAAAGTAGAAAGGGGGAGGGGGAGGGGTTCGTTAGAACCATCGAACCACCTCTGGTGATGGGCATGAAATATTGATACATGACAGGTTATCAAGACAAAGGAAAACATCACTTCAGCCCACATATCTTTCATGCCAGATGGGAGTAAATTAATATTTGATTAAATAAAGGTAAAATGCAAACAGTTTTTGAATAATTATTACCTTAATAAGGAAAGGGATTCTTTATACTGTTCTTGCTCATATATATTACTGTTTAAACACAATTCATACACATCTCGTACCTGCATTTAGTCATAGATAGTTAACATCATTTACTTTCTACAACAATTTACAAATGGAAATAAGTCCACAGGGATGGACCCAGCAGGTTTGTTTGAAGGTGAGTTGACATAGCAAATGGTACTGTTGGTATGGAGTATGATGAATGTTTAATCTATTAAAGGGCATTACGTCAATGTTACATATACTGAAACTAATGCTTGGACATGACAATGTCACGATCTGAGTATATATTTCATGTCTATAAACCTTTTTTTCAGTTATATGAAATCTGCTCTTACTAGTGCTCTGCTTACCCTTTTCCCCAGCAGATGTTTTGGTAGGTTTGCAGTTATTGCATGTAAGCAATCAAGGACAGGAAAGAAATACTTGTGATAACAATCAAACTTAACCAGTAACTTGATGATCACGTCCTGGAGAAATTAAAACCATAAGAAAAAGTGAGAGAATGGAAAATACTAAATGTAAATGAATGGGACAAAATGGTTTTGGGTGAATGAATGATTGATGGGATAGAATGGGACAAAATGGTTTTGGGTGAATGAATGATTAATGGGATAGAATGGGACAAAATGGTTTTGGATGAAATAATAATAATAATAATAATAATGATTATGATTTATATAGCGCCCTTTTCTATGTGGATATAATCAAAGGCGCTTTACATGGAGTTGTGAATGACAGACTGCTTTATGCAATTTACAAGCATGAGAGATGGTTAGTATGAAGTGTAGGCACTGAGGGTGGTCAATGCCAGGGTTTCCTTTTACCGCCTTAATGGTTCTTTTATGTCCCCCATTTTACTGTAGGTTAGGAAGGGTTAGGAGACAGGGCCTACGGTTTAAAGTCCTTGTGCGAGAAGACTTGAAGGTCTAACCATTTGCAGATATTATTACAAAGGCAGCACCTTCTCCTCAGTTATTTTAAGACCCCGAGTGTTGGTCCGGCCGAGGCTTGAACCATGACCTCCCACACAACAGACCGATGCTCTTACCAACTGAGCTAATGAATGAATGAATGAATGATTGATGGGATAGAATGGTACGAAATGGTTTTGGGTGAAGGAATGATTGTTGGGATAGAATGGGACAAATGGTTATGAGTGAATGAATGATTGATGGGATAGAATGGGACAAAATGGTTTTGGATGAATGATTGATTGATGGAATAGAATGGGACAAATGGTTTTGGGTGAATGAATGATTGATGGGATAGAATGGGACAAAATGGTTTTGAGTGAATGAATGATTGATGGGATAGAACTGAGGAAGAGTAAATGAGTTAGCCATGCCCTGAC